GCGAAACTCCGTCTCAGCCTCCTGAGTAGCTGGGATTACAGGCATGTGCCACCATGCCCAGCTGATTTTTTGTATTTTTAGTAGAGACGGGGTTTCACCATGTTGACCAGGATGGTCTCGATCTCTTGACCTCGTGATCCACCCGCCTTGGCCTCCCAAAGTACTGGGATTACAGGCGTGAGCCACCGCGCCCGGCCTGCTCACCTTCTATGTTCATGAACTGAATGTGAAACCTTCTGGACATGTTCATATGCTAATCTGATCTTAAAACAAACTTAAGTAGCCAAATGCTCCAGATGCCGAATTTGAGTGCAGGCTGGGGGAATCCTGGGGTTTGGTTCCATATAGTGGGTTTGCCTTAGTTCAGTTCTCTTTGTACCTCGTCATTGTAGCTTTATTTGAGTGTGTAGGCTTGGACCACTTATTGCTTCTTTTCTACGGTCTTAGGATAAACTTAGGCTTTTCCTAGTTTGGCAGAGAAAGAAAGGAAGCGTTTTTAAGGGGCTCCACCCACCCTCTAGCAAAGGTAAATCAGTGCTCTAGAAATTGATAGAGCTGTTAGCAGGAACCTCGAGACTGTGTGGTCACTATAGAGTGGAGGAAACAGAAGCATCAGGGAGGAGCATTGACTCACTTGGGGTCAGACTCTGTCTAGAACAGAGCCCAGAGTTCCTCCATTCCAGTCTGGTTTGACTTCACCTTTGGGATTCACAGAAACCTTTGCCTAATTATTAGGGCAGGCTGTTAGCTTCCTTTTACAGAATTTTAATTAACTTTTATTTTTATTCAAATAAGTTTTTTGACTGGGCATAGTGGCCCATGCCTGTAATCTCAGCACTTTGGGAAGTCAAGGCGGGTGAATCACTTGAGCCCAGGGGTTTGAGACCAGCCTGGGTAACAAAGCAAGACTCCATCTCTATAAAAAAAAGTTTCCCCCCTTTTCTATCTCCTTACGAAAACAGCACCCTTGAGTGCTATGGCATCCTATAGAGAACTTTAGTCTTTCGTCATAGTGTTAAGAGCTCATGGTTTCACAGCCCCACGAGCCCTCTTTGGAATGATCTAAAATTAAGAGGCTTAGATTTTATTTTATTTTTATTTTTTACTTTTTTTTAATATATATTTTTTTAGAGATAGGGTCTTGCTCTATCACTCAGGCTGGGGGTAGTGACATGATCATAGCTCATTGCAACCTCGGCCTCCTGGGCTAAAGCCTCAGGCACACCAAAGCATGTTCATTTTGACACTTTCTTGATTTGTTGGTTTTTTTTTCCTTTAAATAGCCATCTGGCTGTAGTGGCTCACGCTTATAATCCTAGCTATTCAGGTGGCTGAGACAGGAGGATCACTTGAGGCCAGGCGTTAAAGACCAGCCGGGGCAACGTAGCAAGGTCTCCTCCTGCCTCAGCCTCCTGAGTAACTAGGACTACAGGCATGTACCTCCATGTCTAGTTAAGTGTTTCATTGTTTTGTAGAGACAGGGTCTTGCAATGTTGCCTAGGCTGGTCTTTGAACTCCTGGCCTCAAGCAGTCCTTCTGCCTCAGCCCCTCAAAGTGCTGAGATTACAAATGCGAGCCACTGTGCCTGGCCTTTTCATGGATTTTTAAATGAGACTGCTTCATTGCATTTAGCTTAAGTTGTAGGGAACTAGCAGAACAATGACTTGAGGATTAGAACAAGCTGCTATGTGTTCTGCTTTTCCAGAGGCTTTCTAGAATCTCTCAAGGGTGTGGGCCTTTGTACTTTTCCCCCTTTTTGGATTATGTTTCTTGACCAGTGCAGCAGGTCAAGGTGACTAAGGGACAGCATGTCCAGAAACATGATGGTAGCCCCGTAATGCTTGCTGCCTCGTGGATTCTGGCTGATGCCGTCAGCAGCCTAAGGAGGAGGAAAATCGATTCTAACCAACGTGATGTGTGGACAGGGCCGCTCCCTGTAATACTCGTCTTCGTTGCTCTTGCCACAGGCTGATTCACTTTTTTGGTGGCAGTGTTTTAAAATAAAACCAATCCAAATGAAGAATTAGCCTTTTTGAATTCTCTTGTATTTTTCCTTTCTGATTTTTGTAGGGTTAGTCTTAATCTTTTCTTTTTCTGCCTTTCTAGGCATCATTTTGTGTGTGTGAACAATGTACTCCACTGAAGATTTGTAGAGGAATGGTGAGGCGCTAGAATGTAGCTCATATCCAGAGGAAGTAAGTTAGCTAGCAGTTTTAAGAACATGGAATGGTACTCTGAACATTCCAGCCACACTTTAGCGTAAATAAGAACTTTAGCAGTGAAAGTTTCTCTGCCTAGAGAAATATCCATAGCAAGGTTATTGGCTTTAGATGGCTGAAGACATTGTCAGTGTCCATGGTCACCTCAGATGCAAAAAAAATTGTATGATTTATTTGATCTTGAAGAATCGCCGGTTTTGACATCATTTACATTATATGCGGAGAGGCATGTTTCAATAATAATAAGAGAGCCCAGCCTTGTCTTAATTTCATGTATTTTCATAGTTTTCTTTTGTTGCCATTTAACTTTTCCAGAGGAGCTTCTTAATAACTTTGCCCAGCAAATAGGAGCCTGGAGATTCTGCCTGTACTTTCTCTCCAGCACTAGGAATGACTATGTAATGATGTACAGTTTAACAGTTTTTGAGGTAAGTTGTCAGTAATTTTATACTCTTCTGCAAAGGATTTTGTAGTTGTGTTGCGGTATCATCAGCACCAGGCTGGAGTTGTGCTGTGCTGGGAGAGGGTAGCTCAGCTCCGGGATGTCGTTCCCACATACTCTCTTTATGTAGCGGTCTGGTGTTTGGGGCACCTTCCATCTTCCACACTAGAAAGGTAAGAGGGATGGGTGACTTTAGGGTTAAGTAGGTAGGTCATTTGTGGTAATAAGTAACGATTCCCTGCCTATTATTATTGGTAAGGGAAAGATAATTAAAGAAAACCATTTTAGGAGGAGAGATGATAAGTGTAATACCATCATCCGCAACCACAAAACGTTTTATTTGTATCACCGCTCTTCCAATCCTTGTCTTCCGTGCACACCTTTAAAAAAATCTAACTATAATCACATTGCCCATACATTTTGTATTCTGCTTTTCCCCACTTAACTTTATCTTATATCCTCATATGTGGTTATGACCTTTATTCACTAAGCCATTCTCCTGTTTTTGAGCGTTGAAGTTGTTTCTGCCATTATATTTTGGTGGCCATTAGAGACGGGGGTGTAAAAAAGTGTTTGCACATACAGCCTTTTGTTTCTGTTATTTGGCAGTTCTTCTTAGGAATGGGATTGTTGTGTCATAAGATTTGAATACTTTTATTATTCTTATTGCTAAATTGCCCCAAACCTTTCTTTAAAAAGGGATTCTTGTTTATTGAAGTGGTATAACTACTTTTGGAATGAAAACCAGTTATTTTTGTGTATGGATTGCTAACTTAAAAGATGTATATTTGTTTTTCAGAATCTGATCAATAAAATGTGGCTTGGGGTCCCATCTCAGGATAAGATGGAAATCCGTAGCTGCCTGCCCAAACTCCTTTTGGCTCACCATAAAACCTTACCTTACTTTATACGGAACAAGCTCTGCAAAGTTATTGTTGATATTGGACGTCAGGATTGGCCCATGTTCTACCACGACTTTTTTACTAACATTTTACAGGTAAGGATATACCTAAGGAAACTATCTTGTAAATAGTTTGTTTGTTAAAGTGCTTATTTCCTTGTCCTGAAGAGGACTTTAAAGATTAGCATTTTGGAACTGCAGTAGTGAGGTTATTGTAGGACAGATTGTTGCATTCATTTAACTTCATATTTCTAAGGCATATTGTATCTTTGTGCGGTGAAGAAAGCAGGCAGGGGGTAGAGGGAAGACCTAATCTCTTTGTTAACCTCTTGTGCAATTCTGTTCAGCCAGGATTTGAAAGCCTGTTAGGTGCTGTATCAGATGTTGTGGGTACAAGGGTAAGGTCTTCAGTAGTTTCAGTATTTAGTGGGGGAAATAGCTGTGCAAACAGTAATTATTCAACAATATGGTAATTTTTGTGGAAGTATATGCAGAATGCTGTTGTGGCATAGCGTGTAGACCTGGTGGTGTTGGGCTGAGATGTGAGATGGTGAAGTAGTAGAGCAAGCAGCTAGATTGATGGGCAGAGGCCAGTCCAAGAAGAGTTGGGGGGTTCCATGGTGCAATTCATAGTCCTTCCTAGGGAGCTAATGAAAAGTTTTGAGAAGGGAGAAAACATGGCCACATGTTTATGATGGAATGAGGACTAGTAGCTGGGGTCTGGTATGCAGAGGGATGAGGTGAGAAGGAAGGAGGCAGGATGAAGAGGATCTAAGCCAAAAGGAGACGACCTGGTAGGTGGAGGTGAGGCACCCAGGGGACAGGGGCAGGAGGCCAGTGACCCTAGGTGAGAGGGGACAGAAGGGAGGAATCTAGAATGACTTCTAGTTTTCTGGCTCAGATTTTTCAGGCCAAGGTTGAAAGAAGGGGAATGAGTTTGGGCAGAAGATGGTGAATTCAGTTTGTTAGAAAATGCATTTAAAATTTGTGTGTTCCTTCTGTGTAATAACTAGTGAGACATTAGGAAGTGTGGTTCTGGGTTCAGGATTTAGAAGTCAGAAGGGAGTAGTTGGGACCTAAAAGCTATGAGAGAGATGCTATTGCTCATTTCCTGTGATGAAGTTGGAAACATTTTCATGTTATTGAGCTCATCTTGGGTATGTAGGAAATGGGTATTATACACAGTTTATAGAAATAAAGTTCTTTGAAAATTGGTTGTAGTCTCAGTCACTGTAGGATTTTCCAGAAAAATATCATTTCTAATGTTCTGCCTGCTCTTCATATAAACCATTTTAATGATGCAGCAATTAAAAAAGAATTCAGTATCCACAGTGCGTCTCTCAGATAGTCACTCAGAGGGGCACAAAAATTCTGCACTTAGTTTTGTTTTGTATAGTGCTTCATTTATCTAGAGATTTATGGGATTGTTACTGCAAAGGAGATTCATGCCTTTATTCAAGTAGTCAACTGTTTGTTGAACACTAAGTACCTGAGGGGATATAGTAATGAACAAACACCAAACTGCCTTCCTGGAGTTTCCTATCTCAGGACAGGGACAGGGGCATCAACAAACAATAAGCAGGCATTTATAAGCATTATGATGAAAATTCAATCCAGGGAAGGGCAAAGAAACTAGCGGGGGTTGTGTTTAGATGGCATGCTGGTAGAAGGCCTTTCTGGGACAGACATTTGAGCAGAAACTTGAGTAGGGGTGATGGGATGAACATAGGTATCTAGGGGAACAGTATTTTGGGCAGAGAGAATAGCAAGTGCAGAGAACCTGAGGAATGGCAATAGGCCAGTAGCCCTGGACCTGGGGGCACGAGGCGGGGGACATTTTCCTGCTGTCTGTCCCATATACTTGCCTTCACTCCAAGTTGAGGATGGTTATGGTGACACTCTCTCTATGGTTCTCTTAAGTGGGAGCTAGGGAAGCCCACTGGAGACAGGAAACACCAAGAGGGTTGGGAGTCTAAGTGCATCTTTTCCTGGGTTTGTTAGTGGTACGTCCTGTGACAAGAAGCGAGGGACCTTGAGACAGAGAGTCACAGGTTTGATGATAGCAGGTGTGGAGGAGCTACAGTTCCACCACTGGGATTGGTCCCTTTGAAGAAGAACAGACTGTTTCCTGGCTACATTTGAAGCATAATTATTTGTAACAAATGAGGATTTGGAAGGGCGCTTTTAGGTGAAGGGTTCCTGGAGGTTTAAAAAGGCTAGTTGTCCTCTGTTCTCCACTGCCTCCCCCTTCCAACCCCTTCAGAAATGACTCCTTTAACTTCATTTAGCTTTCGTGACTTTGAAACACCATAGAGTGGAAAGAGCCAGACTGTGAGGCAGCAGGTTTGAGTTCTGCACCCAACTTCGTGTAAAGTCATCTTTTTCTTTTCTTTTTTAATATGTAGAGATAGAGTCTCACTGTGTTGTCCAAGCTGGTCTTAACCTTTTGGCCTCAAGTGATCCTCCTGCCTTGGCCTCTCAAAGTGCTAGGATTATAGGTGG